AAAATCAAATGCAGTGTTTTATATCAAATGGATCCAAAGGTTCTGGGCTGGTAATATTTGCAGTCCCCAGATTCCACTTATGTAGAGCTTTAATTGGTACGTGCTCATAGTGAAATCGAATACAGCATGCTGACTGTGTTTTATATCTAATGGATCCAAGAGTCTAGAGCTTGTAATTAGCAAGATTATGGACAGGTTTATCAGAAAGGTAAACATAAAGAAGCCTCAGGGTCAATTACCTGATACAGTTATTCTGAGCTGACTTGTATTGCAGATGACACCTGTTTTAATATCCTTTGATATGTTTCCAGTCAGGATACTCACACAGGTGTCTATCGCTTGTGGAATTTCCTGATTCTCAAAAGTGGGGGGAGGGGCATATCTTGAACAGAGTTAATGCGAGCGCGAAGCCCTAACAGGCATGGGGTCTAGAACCCGCTTTAGGGCCCCGGAAAATGTTGTATTCTAGATGCTCTGTGGTGTGATCTGAGGCAATTTCTGACCACTTCAAATTGTTGTGAACAAAATAATCATCTATTTTTTAGTTTGGAGTCATCAGTTATTGTGAGCTATAGAATCCTTTTGTTGTCAACAATTTTAATTCGGGGACAAAAAAAGTGGCGGGGGGGGGGTACACAAATGATATGATATCCTCCGACTTTAAAAAAGTGGGGAGGGAGGACTTGTCCCCCCGTCCCCCACCGATTGTCGACCATGGATACTCAAGTCTGTTGTGTAGACAAAAGTAAACAAATAAAAAGAGGTAAAAATTGAACTGACAGTAATTAGTTTTGGAACGTAGTTTTGTTCTGTTGTGGGTTTAATTTTCCCTCACTTTCTTTATATTTATCAACATTTTTTAGCTAGTGTGTGGTTGGTGTTTTACATGCATGTAAAGCATTCAACAGCACAACGCTTGCATTGTTCATTTGAATTATATTCATCATAACCAAACTTGTTATTTCTCTCAGTGATTCAGCATCAGCAGTGCTTTGTTACAAAATTTCCCAAACTCACATATTTGAGGCTTTCTCTCTTATTGCATCCCAGGTAAGTTCAGTTGACACTTATTGTAAATATTCATTTGTATTTTGTGCCCTCCATAGGCTGATTGGTCCATCCATTGCTGAGATGAATGCTGAGATTGGGGAGAGCCATGCCCACCTCTACACATCACAGACTGACGAACAGGTACTAACACAACAGCAGTTATGTGGTGTAAGTCTATTTTAAATCTAAATCCGGGTCTGCAAGCCATGGCAAGAGATTGAACATTCTGTCCGGGGCGGTTGCAGCTGCACAAAACAAAAAATCGTGGATCAAGCTAAAGAGGGCAAATTTCGAAAGAGAGTCAAGTTACAGTTTTGATGTAATGTTTGTGATGTAAAATCTCGAAAGAGATTCAAGCTACAAAGAGATCAACTTTGATGACCTTCTGCCATCTCCCCAAAAAACGAGCACATTTCATTCAAAAAGTAAGAGGAAAGTGGCCAGAAAATGCCTCACATTTCACCACAGAGCATCTAGAATCTAAAGTTTGAATCAACTATCACATATAAAAAGTTCCACTTTAATATTTAAAGTGGATCAATTTTTTAATTAAAATTATGCTAATGTATGCACAGAAAGACCAACTTAATGAATTTCTTGAGAAATTTGAATCTTTACTTGCTACAACACCTTTTATAAGTGAACATTAATCATTTGTATTACATCACATATGAGAAATTCCTCCAAAAAAATTAAATTAGGTTCAATTTCTGAAGACAAGCCCATTTGTTGACTGGTGTGATGTGGGATACTTAAAAGTATGCTGTTTTCAATCTTCTCGGGGCCCACAACACCTGAGGCGAAATGCACCCCTAGGATGTTAAAAATGTCATATCCCACATCACACCTGTCAACAATTCTTTATTGTAATGGAAGTCCAACTAGAGAAAAAGTAATGTAGTACGTGTTGTCAATTTGTTCACTTTGAAATGTAGGTGCTATATGAAATGACAGTGGCAGTCAACTGTGAGGAAGCCAAGAAACCTGTCTGCAAAAACAAGAACAGATTCCCCAATGTACTTCCATGTACAGGTAAGTTCATTTGTAGAAATTACTAAGTGTTGCGTAAAGAGTGGCCTCTTGAGGCAAACGCTTGTTGGCACACACCCACTGCATTGTGAATTGTTCTTAATTGTAGGGGGGATGGGTGCTAAGGTAGTCTATGTAATATCCCCTTGTACAGCAAGGGTCTATGATATCTCAGAGATTCAACGATTATTATGCAATACAAGACTGCATCTTGACCTCGAGACCATTCAGCAGGCGCCTTCTATATTGGTTCTTAAACCCGTTGTCATGTACATCTAGTAAAACCTAGACACAACATCTATTATGCTTTTACATTGTGAATTATGTTAGCAAATTAGGCTGTGTCACATGGGCTGTAACGATATGTTACGTGATGCTAGGGATGTGATGTTTACGTATTCAAACTAAAAAAAATTGTAAATCCGTTTGCATATTTTCCAAAACATGTAAAATGAAACCTGAAATATGAAAAAATGACCTTTGCTTATGCAATCTGCCCTTGACTTGTTCATATACATTTATTTCCTAGATTAACAATGCTTTTAATCTCATTTAATCTACAAAGTATTAGAAGAACCGCACAACTTGATTACATTCTGGGTTGTTGAGTTTGTACATGTACAAATGTACGTTTTCAATAGCTGCCTGCTATAATCTATTGGGCCAATCATCTATATATATATAAGAGAGAAGTTTACTCGCCCCCGAGACGATGTTTGCTCCTGAAAGGATCCCAGACCGCGGGCTCCCGCGGCGCCAAAATCGCTCCACGTCCGTGGAAAAATACGTAGGGTGTCTTCCGCCGGGTCGGACACTTCGGGTCGTCCTGATTTTCCCGGCGATCCTTTTAGTCGATTTTTCGTGACTGCGTTTTTCGCAGGAATTTGCCGTCGTGTGCGCTTTCACGTTGACTGCCTGGCCGCCCCCTGTGCTTGCTTCTCTGCGTGTCTAGACTGTGCGAGGTCAGCGAGGTCAACGTACGGGTTCCGTTTACGTGTTCTACTCAGCCGTTCTGCAAAAGCGTTCACCAAATTGTGTTATGGGGTGACCTTGGTAAAATATTTTTTCTCCATGGTGCGTGGCCACCAAGTGCCCCTATTCTTTCATATGCTTCGCTTGCCGCCCCTGCGCCGTGTGCAACGAATACTCAGAAGGACTACACATAAAGTATGCCTTGCGCGGTCTGACCAATCGAAAGTCTACACTGCGTAGTATTTCCGGGCTATGCAAAACTGTCGATGGCAACGCGTACTGCAGCCTGCTCCACACCCTGGAAACGAGGTTGGGTGCTCGCTATTTGCATGATTTGAAGCACAAGCATGTGAGTGACGTGAATAGTGCTCTGTTGCTTCCATCGTGTGTTAATACAGCTCCATGCTTCCACCAAGGCTGAGCGTTGTGAGTTCGCTGCCCGCCACGTATAATTCAGTGTTGCGTTATAATTTCGGGGGCCTGTCTGGGATCAACGAAGGATCTTAAACGCAGTCACACAAAAAATCAACGAAAATGTGTCCGATCCGCCGGAAGACACCCTCCACATTTTTCCACGGACGTGGAGCGATTTTGGCGTCGCGAAAGACCGCGGTCTCAGATCGTTTCAGGAGCAAACATTTCTCGGAGGCCGAGTAAAATTTGCTCTTCTATAGATGGTTGCCTCAAGTTGAATAACAGTTGACTCGACAAGTTCCTCGCAGACAGTCTCGCAAATTGTAAGACGTTCAAGTTTACGTTTGTTGAAGAGTCCAATATACTGAAACTTAATTATGACCTTCTTAATCAGCCTTCGCCTGTGTACTACGGCAAGCCTTTCAAGTACGTTTTCCCACAAATGCCACTGCCTCACAAAATGCCAATTTAACAGAACGGGAACATTTACAGACTGTTGCCATGGTACATAATTGTTAGTGGTCAGAAATTGCCTCAGATCGCACCACAGAAATTGCTTTTCTATAACTGCATGTCTTCTCAACTAAATCCCCCAGTTACATTCATCTCCCCACATTTTCATCCCCAACTCTACGCCCTACCTGATCTATGATCGGGTAAATCAACGAGGGATCGATGCATTGCTTCAAATATTGTGATCTTTGAACTATGTTGGGTTGGAATAACGAAGAGTGCATAAATAATAATATTGGCGGTTGTTGGCTGTTTGGCCTTGCTTATATTATGGTTGAACCATGCCAACTTGAATAAAATAGTTAAATCGACTTTTTCCTCGCAGGTCTCGCAAATTGTAAGAAGTTCAAGTTTACGTTTGTTGAAGAGTCCAATACTGTACCTTCATAATGACCTTCCTCCATGATTCAGACTATGTAATTTTATGGTAACACACTCAACATTTTTATTGCAAATGCCACCTTCACGTTTTATTCCATTATGATTTATTGTCAAAAGAGTACAATCAGCCTTCGCCTGTGTACTATACGGTAAGTCTTTCAACTCAGTTTTCCCACATTAGCAAACGCGACTGCCTCACAAAATGCAATTTAACAGACCAACGGGAAAATTTACAGACAGTTATACATGCCATGGTACATAATTATCATGGGCGCGGCGTCAATCGGTGGGGGACGGGGGACCCCCATCCCAACATTTTAAAGCGGGCAATATCGTTTGGTTCCCTACCCCCACTTTTTCTTCCCCGAATAAAAATTGTAGCCTACTATAATATTCTTTTGCTCAGAACAGCTGATTCAATGACTCCAAACTCGAAAATGATGTTTAAAAGATGATCTTTTGTTTTACTATCTTACGTGGTCAGAAATTGCCTCAGATCGCGTCACCGTAAATTGCTTTTCTATAGCTACATGTCTTCTCAACTAAATCCCCCATTTACATTTAACTCCCCACACTTTCAACCCCAACACAAATACGCCCTACCCGATCTATGATCGGGTAAATCAGCTTGTACACAATATAAACAGTTTACTATTGAGATGTTTTCAATGCCCCAGTGTTCCCCCTAAAATACTGTAAATCTGAGTGTGTCTTGACCTTTTCCACTCAAGGAAACGCCGATGACATTCCATTTTCATTGTATCCACCTTTTCAATAGAAACTACTTTTCCAAAGTCTTTGAAAAAACAAAAGTCCATGAAAAATAAAATTATCCTTTTACTTACAAAAACCTTCCAACCCTAGTTATTCTGCTGGTACCTTTAGAAAGTTCCAGATGCTGATTGGTAAAATAACAGACTTTGGATCTTTGTCGAAATGGCATTGTTGTCATGTAAGCTGCGTTCTCTTGGAGAGATATTCTGTAATTAAAGCAAATGCTCATTGCTTCATTTAAACTACTTGGTCTATCAGCATGTAGCAAATCAATGATTAGTCGAAGAAGTAAAAGCCTCAATCATTTATGGAATAAACTAAACTATTATTGTAGTGATAAGGAACCTCTCATAAGTAGGTCATTCTATACATTTAGGGTCCAAAGTCGGACATTTTTCCTGTCTCTGCACATCCCAAATTTATCATTTGCCATTCACTGCAATTAAAAATGACTTCAAACTAATTAATATTTGTTGAGTAGGTCATTTGATTCACAGAAGCATTCTTGGTGGAAAGAGTACACACATAAAGGAGTGCATCTTCAATTACAAAATCGTAGATGCCAGACGTATAGGGACAGGAAAAAGTGGACCCCAAATTCATAGAATGTTCCAATGCATCTTCTATTGTAGTATTTAAAAACGCCATTTAACAAAGGCTTACAAACTAGATTTCAATTTACAAATGTACAGTACATCCATCATACCAACCACATTTACAAACATCCATGTATCATTGCAGTAGAATGCACAAGGTTTTCATTTTCAACTTGGTTGTAAATGCAATGAAACTGATATTAATTTGATGAGGCACTCAGAAAGCACTGTGAAAGAGACAACCTAGGGATTGCATATGATTTACTTTTAAACTATCGCTTTAGTTCAAAATCACACATATTTCATCCAGTTGCTTTTGAATAATTTACTTTTGTCACATGTACACGGAGGTGCAAAATCTTTTTTCTTTGAAAATAAGTTGCCAATAATTGAAATATCGAATATCAAAATCTAAGGAAATGTTTACATTTCACAAAGGAGCAGGGTTGTATCTTATACTTGGGAAAACACCTCATGCATTGACTTTGCATTCGCTGAGATGAATCCGAGAAAATTGAATTGCCCTGTCGTGGTAATGCTTTCCCTCTCATTTTTATATATTTTTAGAATGTGCAATCTGCCCTATTTGAAAACAGTGTGAAGGGTCACTCCTTGCTCTCATTATTGGGCCGGCAGATCTAAGATTTTGCAGGAAGTGGGCTGGGTGTCGAAGTCCAAGATTTTCTAAAGGGGAAGTGGTTGAGGTATGAGAGTCAACACGTACGGAGAGCAAATACCTTAGAAATAAACGAAATATACATTATTTCAATGCCTTATTCAAGGGAATGAACTTTAAGGTTCTTTTTCAGTGATAATTAACAATATTCAATGTCTGATGGACGTGGTTGGTGGATACGCTGGATAGCCCCAGTTTAATTTATATGTCCTTACACTCGGTGATAGACCTTTACAGACTCTCCTGCAGCCACTACCAGATCACCATCTGATGTGATTGTTATGGCCCATGGATCACCACAGTCCTTGATCACACAACCAATGTACTTGCCATCAGGACTGTAATGCAGAATATCACCTGTTGGATTTCCATGCACAGCAACATAGATGCTGCCATCACTGTCACAGCACACACCAGTAGGGTACCCATCCATCTGCATGTTGCTGGTCATGTCTACTGAGAATACACTGGCACCATAGTAGTCTACACATACCAACCTTCTCTTGAACTTGTTTGTGTAAATAAGCCGATGATTGTACATGTACATTGTCAGAAAACCTCTAATCATTGGAGCAGGCAGTCTCCTGATGAGGGATCCATCTGGGTTGTGTAGAGATATCTCCGCCTCGTCTTCATGACCCACTGCTATCAGATTGCTGTCACCCACTGCAAGGCATGTTGGGTAGCTGTTTGACCCTCTACCTGGTGTGAACTGATGGAGGAGCTGATGTTGCTTGTTGAAGACCTTGACTACTGGACCATCTAGAGCAAGGAGCTTGTCATCCTTGCTCACTGCAATACAGCTTACATCATCAGTGAGGCCATTGATTTGTAGCCTTTGTGGGATAGGAGATTGTTCCTGGTGATTATTTGGAATTGAAACTGGGAATAGTGCATGTTCATTTAAAAAAAATATATTGGTTACATGTAGTGCAAGTATATTATTGCTAGAGTGTGCTGCAACACGTGATATGCATGTTCTAAGTCCAAAGTTCTTGACATCAGTCTTCAGTTCCCATTTCTCCTTCACACATGATCTTGCAGGTCTTGGTGATTGCTTTGCTGTAGCCTTTGGCTCTTTCTCCAGAATGAGACTCCCAAGTGACCTTTCACCTTCTTCAAAGTCCATGAAGGTCAACTTGTCAGGAACTTGCTGTGGCTGTTTCCCTGTCAATTCACTGAGGTTATGCAAGAGCTTCTGTTGAAGTTCAAGAATCTCATAGCAACTTGCTTGATTCATGAGTTGTTTCACCTCCTCCAGCTTGTGCTGTGTCTGTGTCACCTCTTTCTTGTTCTTAGCTTGAGCAGCTTCAAACGTTTTTACTCTTTCTTGATAAATCCTGTCCATCTCTTTCATCAATTTGTGTTCTTCCTTTTGGATCTTTGCAACCTCCTGTTTGACCTTTGTAATCTCCTGTTGAGCCTTTTTGGAGAGTTTCTTTTTGGAGTTCGCAAACATGGTGTCCAGCTCCTTACGAAATTTGCACGTCTCCTCGATGGTGGTGCTCAATTGTGTTTTTCTTCTCTCACTTTTTTGGACCATTTCTGTGACCTTCTTCTTACATTTCTCTACTGCCTCAGGTAATCCAGTGAGTGAGTGTTTTGTGTGATCAAGCACAGAGCAAGTTGTGCATATGAGTTGCTCACATGAGTTGCAGTAGACACTGAGATTCTGATCTGGATGCTTGCAACATTTTGGAACTTCGTCTCTTAATTTACTCTTATAGACTATCTCTCCTGATCGAAGTTGAGCCAATGTGTAGATTTTGTGAGATTTCATTAGGGTTAGACGTTCATGAGCCTTTTGACATTCTTGACACAGGAAATGATCACAGCCCATACATCTTGACACAGCCTGATTCTCTTCATCACAGGCTTGACATTTGATTTCTGACCCTTGACCTTCCAGTAGCTTTTCCTGCATTGTAACTTCCTCCACCAGGGCACTGAATGCAAATTTATTAGGGAGATCAGCAACCCCAGACCCTTTCAGTACGGTTTCTCGTCTGCACAGAGGACATGTCAGCTTTGTACCACTAGGATCTTGGCTCTGTCTGAGCTCTTGGAGGCATTACAGGCAAAAACAATGCAAACAGTCCAGCAGTTTGGGCTGCCTGAAACGGTTGGTGCAGATGGAGCATTCCAGATGATCCACACTAATCTTCTCCAACACTGATTGAACTGTAACATTAGATGCCTTCCTCACTGTTGGGCTTTGTGTGATAGGATGGTCATTAACCTGCAAATAAAAGGTTTGGAATTACATGTATTCAAACTTCAAATGATGATATGGTTGTAATAGGTCAGATGTAAAGTTGAAAACTTTTTGTCAAGTACATTATTCACATTGAAGATCTATTCACATGCTATATGCTTTTAAAACTGCTGTTGTTTAGTTTTGTTCAAAAGAAAATAGCAATCAGTTGCAACAAATGTACAATATATGGTTACCTTGTTAAAGGGAATACACAACATTTGTTTCTGCTGTAATATTCTGAAATGGATGTATTTGGTGGTTAGTATTTTGTAGCAAATATTGTTATGTTGACTTGTTTTAAGTTTTGTGTTTGTAGATACTAGAAAAAGCACAAAAAACAATCCTGTTCTTGTAGACTGGTTCCCCGACCCAAAATGATGAAATCGAGCAATTTATAGACGTCAGGGAATTGGATCAGGGAACCAGTCTAGCTTGCTTGTACCCATTCATAGGAGTGTAATTGATTGCAAACTAAATCTGTTAAATTGGGGGTTTGAAAAGAGTCAGTTTTGTCCAATGCTGGTCAGTCGACCTGCATTGGAAATCGATACAAAAATACCACTTTTCTTGAAAATGTCAGCATGTGCCATGATTTTACAGGATTCTTTAGACTGTCATTCACTAGCAGTGCAGTAAGGTATTTCATAATAATTTGGTAGTTTTGTTTTTTGATGTTTGCAAATGTTGTATATTCCCTTTAATTTAATGTAAGAGCATAATTATATATTTTGTCCTGACAAATGCAACATTAAAGAATTCGTTTCAGCTGTTATGGAACATTTCTACGCCTAAGGAAAACTGTAATAAAACTCATAACAAGTCAAACAAATGTAGGTCACAATTGACAGGTTTTACACTTTGACAAAAAATGCCTTTTGCCACAGTTTTTAATATAAATAGTTTGTGAGTTGACCTGACGAAGAATGACTTTTCATTGACTTTATGAGGATGTGGCTTCAGGTCTGAATGAAACAGTTCACGACAAATAGAATATTTTTTCTAATACTGGGTTTTGCCCTCACTGACGTATTTTAATAAACACTGTATACTCGGTGTTGTAAAAAGTTCATGAAAAGAGCACTCACTGTAAAAACTTGGTAAATTTAAAAATAGGGAGTGGGGGCTAGTACCATCTTCCTATGAGGGCACTGTTCAAACCAGACGATCATGGATAATATGTGGCAATTGTCAGGATGGCACAATCGCCTATGGTTGCGTGAAATTTCAAACAGGGCACTCGTAAAAGGCCGCTGGTAACAAAAAGGGCACTGGTTTAAAAAAAAAAAAAGGCACCTATTTAAAAAAAAAAAACTTTTACAAATAGGGGGGGGGGGTTAAATGCTGGTGTAAAAGGGGCACTTGTATACGAAAGGTAAGTCTTACTGTTACTTAGGTGGGGCTCGAACCCAGTACCCCCTGTTTAGTAGTGCAGTCTTCTTATCACTCCACCTCTGAGCTTGCCTGGGTCAGCTGGGTGGTTTGAGTCAAGGTGGGCAGGAGTTACGGCGATTGTAAAGTGTACGGCCTGGTTCCTGCAAGGGAACAAAATCCACTTTAAAATTATTGGACCTACATTGTACCAAACTAGTTGACGACATTCTCAGTGAACAGGTATGTCATAGATAGAGGACAGGATTTTGATTTTTTGAGTGAAATTTGGGGGTAAAATGACGATGACAGCGCAACGACTACACACGCCCCAAAAATAAAGATGGCGATTCAGCGCGCTATGTACTGTGAGCACGCACGGCGCGCTGAATCGCAAGGCACAAACCACGCAGGAAAATCATGATTTCTACCCCAAGAAACTGTTCAAAATTGCAAAACAGGTGTCATTAGAATTGAGAAAAGACTGCTTTTGATTGTAAATGTGATTTTTGAGCTATAAAAACATTCTTGACTCTAATTTGATCAAAACAAAACAGGGGTCCTACACTTCATGATCGCCGGAGTTTCTGCAACCCAATATTGCCTGCATCGGAAAAAAATATATATTTCAAGTACTTTAACTGGCCAATATTTCAATTGAAGGCTTGTCAATAAAGTCCACTTTTCTGTAAGAAAAGTGCACTAACTTCAGAAAAAAAAGACTTGCCTTCCATCGTTTTGATTTTTGGTTATATTATTATTTTTTTGTAATTTACTCAGCTATACCTGTGCTGAATCTTCTTAAAGGCCTAACATTTGTTTTGTAAGATTGCCTGTAAGTACAAACAATGCGTGTCACTTATTTCTGTCGTGAATAGAAGGAGATTCATGTATTCCACATGTCTGTATTCTAACAGGTTTGATGGATCCACCTGAATTTCCAGTAAATACGTATACACTTGTAATTGGCAAATACCGAGTTTACATGTACATGGCCTTCATACGAGATAATGTGATGCTGTTGATTTATATCAAATGTGTAGATAGACTTACAGGTAGACCCATTAAATAAAAAACCTTACCTTCAGGTACACATGAAATGAGCCATTGCTATCTGCCCATTCTGATGTCACTTACGGCAATGGTTGAAATGAACAAAGATGGCGATCTACTGTACATATACGCCCCTCTGTATCAACATGGACCATGTCACATGATGTTGAGTTCAGTTATTTGCAGTCCCTGGAGTCCACTTATGTAGCGCTGTGGTACGTGCTGTACGAGTAAAATCAAACACAGCATGCGACTGTTTTCTACATCAAACGGATCCAAAGGTCTATAGGCTGTTAATATTAACAATTTGACAGACAGGTTTATCAGAATAGTAAACAGAAAGAAGCCACAGGGTCAAGTTCTTTGTTCAACCGTTAACTTTTATTTGAGGTTCAAATGTAGGATCAAGGATATGTTTAGTCCTCTCAGGCCAGTAGACCAAACAGGGACATATTTGTCTAGAGTATTGTATTTGAGCATTGACTACTCCCTCTTGTAAGACCAATGCTGCACATACCGGTACTGGCAATTATTCCAAGATTCTTGACAAATGCCGTGTAATATGAGTACAACAACGGTACAACGTGAAGTATCTTACCTGAATTGAAGTCTTTTTGTTAGTTTAAAAGGAAAATTTGAAACTATCCTTTTGAAAGATGGCGCACAACACTCTACATGTACATGAATGCTTAAATATGATTGCACATGGTGCGTAAATTCCCAGTTCTATTTTTAGAAGCTATTGGACTGAGTCCACTTGTACATACTTTGTGGATTTTTATGCACACATCAATGCAGGTTCCTGTGCATAAATAGCAGTCAGTGTTTCCATGACCCTGGTGCCCCGGCCCTCAAAAATTGAATCAGAAGTCACCAATGCTATTCTGGGACTAAACAGCCCTGGTTATTTTCAAATTTCTGCCTGAAAAAAAAACGTTTTCAATTTTGTTTCCTATACAGCAATCTTTTGTTCACTTTTGAATAAAGCACTGCCCTCCAAAATTGACTGACTTTATTATTAATTATATATTATACTTTTCAATCATTTGTCGCCCAATATTGATTCAGGTTCATGAGAGCATGGAAGAATTTTTATTTTTCTGTTATGAGAGCTACAAAAGTAATCTAAAGTAAAACTTTTCCAAGAGTACAGTTCTTAAGAATTGCAACTTTGTTGTCAACCTACTTTCAGCTTATGTGTTAGATTAGGATCTGAAAGTTATCTTCAGTGCTTTCGATTGCTCCCCCCAGCTTACTCCCGCCTGGCTCCTCGCGTAATGACAGACATGCGCTTAATAAACGAACGGTTTCGGTTTAAGTTTCGTGCAAGAGCTGGAAACATGGGCGTCGCCAGGATTTTTTTCTAGAGGGGCAAAACATGTTTTCCAAAAAAAATATCCTGTTTTTCTCAACATATTCTCGATTTATCAGTTTTAGAGGGGGGTAGGGACATTTTACCCCTCCCCCATTAAATTTACACCAATATGACTTCTCGCCTCTTTTCTTTTTTGTTCTCTCTTTTTTTTTCTTTCCTTTTTTTACTTTTCCGGGAGGGGGGATGTTGCAACCTGACGCCACTTTTTTCTTCATATATCATCTCAATAAAGGTCATTCATTGCAAAAAGGAGGATAAGACATGAATCTGGGACTGAGAAAATATTTCAAATTTTGTTAGGAATTTTTTTTTCTTGACTCTCCATAGACTTTGTACACAATTGCGCAAGTGGCGTCAGGTTGCAGTATTTTTCCCAGGCTGCATCCAAGAGCACGTCCAGGGCCTCCACGCCAAGCTAATATGCGGGGACGCGCTGACAATAATTCGTAGCCGTAGCTCCGTGCATAGAGCTACATCGGGTTTGTAGCTCTATGCTCTGTGGAAGCCGTTTCTGACACGGCCTGATGAGGTGCCCGCTGGACGTTGCATGGCCTTATGGGATACTTACCCAAGTGACCGGCTCGGCGAGTCGGTCACTTGGGCCAGGCTAGAGTAAGCGCGAGAAGTCACATGAGAGGTAAATCGAACGCTGTCGCGCTTGCATGAGTAAGTGTGGGGGAAGTAATCGAACGCACTGATAGTGAAACTCATCACTACATGAGTGCTCTTTTCTAGTTTTTCCTTCAAATCAAAGGTTTTACCAAGGAAACAAAAGGTTTTTTTGGATTTTTTTTTTTTTTTTTTTTAACTCACTTCTACATGATACATCAAATGGAGAATATTGATCCCCAAACATTCAGTTTTGGAAAAATTACCCCACAAATTATGAATGATTTGCCATCAGACCTTGATTAGCTCCTCGTATGTTTAACTGGTTCCTAGCTGTCCCTATAGCGATCAATAATGTAAATGCTAGGAAGGAGTCTCCTTGCATTGTGTATTTGTTTGTGCACAAAATTAATCCAAAATATAAGCCTTTAAAAGAGGGTTGCAGCTGCCCTAAAATAAAAATCTTACATAAAGATTAGAAGTGACGTGTTGAAAATTCATTCAAACGTGGTTTCCCTTTACAACAAAAGACAAGCACCCAATTGACAGAAGGGCAAAAGAAATGAGTAGGTTGGACTATGGAATGATGGAATAATTCTTGATTCAGTATTTGATTTAATTCAACTCTTCAAATCCAAAGAGATTAAAATGTTTCCAACAAAATCCACAATAAAAATCAGGCCTTAGATTAAAACCCGAGTCAGTGACTATATTGAGCCACTTTCTGTTTCACAATATCTGTATACAATTTCAGGAAAACATAAAATGCAAAGCCAACTATAACATTACAAGAAGATCCATTTCAACGTGGTTGTCATGTAGTTTAATTCACTGCTGTAAACAACTATTACAGATGTTGCGTTTTAAGACAAAGATTTTTGATTTTCAAGACACAGTGATAAAAGTCTGCAGTTTCTTGCAAGAACATGAAGGAGTTTTCTTACCAAAACAGCCATTGTTTTTGTTCTTTTGTTTCGATTTGTTCTTTTGTTGCGATGTTCTTTTGTTGCGATTGTGTTGATACTTTGTAAGTTGTTTGTTGTATCACATTCGGAACAAACAGCCACAAGACATATCAGATTGCAGGTTTTTGGGGGGAGGGTCTCCTGACAACAAACAGAGTGTGCTGGCCGAAATGTTGAGTTAAAACCGGTTCTTCTCGGAACCCCCCTGCTGCCCCATTGAATAATGCAATTTGGTTTTAACGTCAGCCATCAGCAAAAAATATTCTAGACCTGAAACCAAACCAGAAAGGATCAAAGTTTCAGTTCTCGAGACTGTTATTGAGACAAGTGACTATTTCTCTCTTGTCTTTCTTTGTTAAATAGTGTTCAGATATTCGTGACTCAAATTGACTTGACTTGTCTTTCTTTGTTAAATAGTGTTCAGATATTCGTGACTCAAATTGACTTGACTAAATTGGCTATAAGTATTTGACTTGACTCGACTCGATTCGACTTGAACCTTGTTGACCTATTAACTCAATTCAACTTGACTCACTTTTTGAAATGACTCAACTCAACCTTTTGGACCTATAACTGGACTGGACTCAAGTCACTTCTTTAAAATGACTCGACTCGACTCAGTCAATTCACTTCTTGAAAATGACTTGACTCGACTCGAGTCACAAAAAAACAGTGACTCATTACAACTCTGCTGAGGAATGACAAGGAGATTCTGATCCAGGAGATAATAAATTATAAAATGAGTCCTTGGCATTGTCAGCAGCAGCCTTTGTGTAATGTTGGCTAAATGTTTAAACATGTAAACACAGCATAAATGCTTACGAAAATGAACATGGATGACCATTATTTACAGTATTGTATTAGTAAAATTTGATGTTTTATCCTTTCCCCCAGGCCAACCCCATGTCCCCGAAAGCGATGATGATAATTCCAGCTCCTACGGTTCCGACACCAACATCCCCTCTAGAAGGACCAAGACCGCCTGGTCAGCGATGCCGAGATGCGACACATGACGCTCACCAGACCAGCTAAGGTTGGTGCTTATTGGGTCAGTCACTACCGAACACCATTACCACACTGCAAAAACAGATAGACAAGCAAGACCCTGTGGAGGAATTCAAGGTGAGTTGGGGTAAAACTTTGGCTCAGTGATTATTTTAAGAACTCACAGCTTTAAAAGTCTCCACAAAATGGCATGAATTTTTGTAGTCTATAGAATTTCAAGTGAGGTTATCGGATTTTCCCATTTTCTTATCTGCAAAGCAGAATGTATCAGAATACAAGGGCTTCTTTTTAACCAATTGTTACCGACAACAAACCAAATTTTGCACTCGATCAGCACTAGCTAAATGTATTACGAGACAGTTTTGCCGAAAATGTTTCGTCGAGTCAGTGAAATTTGTCTCACTAGTGACAATTCTGTGATGTCTAGTCTGAGTCATGAGTTGAGTCATGAGAGCCGAGTTTGAGTCATTAGCCATTGTAACTTGAAGTTCAGTCTCAGAATTTGCAGCGTAAATTAAACTCCAGTCTGAGTCAGACTTAGTTCTATATTTCTGCCAAACTGGTGTATGGCTATGTTGTCCATGCACTTGCTGAAGAATGAATATGCAAACGATTAAGTCAGCCAAAGATAACTTGATTTGTAATTGCAGTCCGAGCTAGAAAGAGAAAATGCAATGTAATGTGTGTTGTCTTGTCAATTTGTTCACTTTGAAATGTAGGTGCTATATGAAATGTCAGTGGCAGTCAACTGTGAGGAAGCCAAGAAACCTGTCTGCAAAAACAAGAACAGATTCCCCAATGTACTTCTATGTACTGGTAAGTTCATTTTGTAGAAGTTAGTATACTTTAAAAGTTGAAAAGTGGCCTCTTGAGGCAAAGACTAGTTAGCACACTCACACTGCATTGTGAATTGCTCTTAATTGCAGGGGGGGGGGGGTTGGCTGCTAAGGTAGTCTATATGGAAAATTCCTTTGCACAGGAAGAGTCTATGATATCTGAGAATTTGTCGATTATTATGCAAAACCAGACTGCGTCTCGACCCTGAGAGCATTCAGCAGGCGCCTTTTATGTCGGGTCTTCATTTACCCATTGTCATGTACATCTAATAAAACCTAGACATGACATCTATTGTGCTTTTACATCGTGAATTGTGTTTGCAAAAATAGGCTGTTTCACGCGGCCTGTAACGATATGTTACGTGTTTCGCGAACATGACCTTGAGACAGAGAGAGTGATACAACGGGTGATACTCAGACTAGTGTTAAGGCTTCATTCCTACAAAACCATTTGGTATTTCAATTTATTCAAAAAAGAGTGGACTGCAACAGTAGGCAATTTGGGTTGCTACCATTCACACCTTTTATTGGTTCGTAACTAGTGCTAATTGTAATATGAAAGGGACTGTTAAACCGGATGTAATGTTAGAATTCCATATTTCTGTGTACCTTTCAAAGGTGTAACTATGAGGCACGTGTCTCCCCCCCCCCCACCCCACACTCCATTTGAAATCTTGAATTGCACACAACAAATGAATATGTTACCTTCCTTGCCCCCCTCCCCTTTCAAAAAAAAAATTGGTGAACCCCCCAGCTGCCCCACTGGAAGCTTAACCCTAGTTACACCGCTGGTACCTTAAGAAAGTTCCAGATCACGTACGTCTCACTCCCATAGAATGTGCGATATTGATAAGTTATCTATAGGTATGGTGGGTACTTGACTGCACCCTCGGCAACCATACGATATCAGTTCTTCCACTTGTTAGATGTCAAGTTTAACTGTCTTTACGCCCATAATTTAAAGAAATATTTACTTTCAATATTTTTTGTATAAGCATGCCCTAAAAATGCTATTGCTAGACATTCAGTTTGGAAAAACAATTCCATGCTCTGACTTTTCCCTTGTAAAGTGGTTGCTAAGGTGCCAACAAATTTTGATCATTCATGTGTCACTTTTTCGCTTAGGATTTCTAGACATTTGAAGTTTTCACAGGACAATAAAATACTGAACATAAAACCCCATGAGGCGATCTTTAACACACAAAAGATTTCTTTTTGCTACATTTTTTTGTTATGATAAAAAAGAAAAATTTTCAAGCTGACTAAACAGTGTTGTAGTGTTTGGGTTTCTTTTGCTCGCAATACATGGTACTAGACCCAAACAAGCCTGACTAATTTTCTAAGCTCATAGTTACATACTCAAAATATTTTGAGAGCATGTTGACAATATTCAAATGCGGTCAATCAGGAGATAAAAAAATCAAGGGAAAATGTTTTCACAAATCTGATTACTTGATAATCCCCTCTACCATTATGTACAAGTATGAATGTTGGGGAAACCACTGTAATTATGCTATTGTCGAAAAACAAATTGGTCTTAAATGTAAACAAACGACAACTGAGAAAAGAGGGTTGTTTCATAAAATCATTGTTGCTATGTTCTCAGAAAACGTTTTTTAAAATGTCTTTGACAAAATATACAGTGAATGAACTAACTAGTGATACAATAACAATGGCTTCCAAATTAAGTGGTCTATAAATGATAAAATACAAATATATCTTTTTGAGTCACATAATCGGTGTAAAATAGGCAGCCCTCATTATGTATGCAAATAACCCTAGGAGTCACACATGCCCAGTGGAAAATGCAGCTGAAATGTACGTGAGATGCTGATTGGTAGATAACAGACTTTGTATCTTTGCTGAAATGCCATTGTTGTCATGGAAGCTGTGTTCTCTTGGAGAGATACTCTGTTATTGCTTCATTTAGACTACTTGGTGTATCAGCATTTAGCAAACCAATACTTATTCAAAGAAGCAAAAGCCTCAATCCTTTATGGAATAAACTAAACTATTATTGTAATGGTACGGAACCTCTCACAAGTAGGTCATTCTATACATTTAGGGTCCAAAGTCAGACATTTTTCCCGTCCCTGCAACCTCCGAAATTTATCATTTGCCATTCAAGTGCTATTAAAAATGACTTCAAACTAATTAATATTTGTTGGGTAGGTAGCATTCTTGGAGGAAAGAGTACACACATAAAGGAGTGCATCTTCAATTACAAAATCGTAGATGTCGGACGTATAGGGACAGGAAAAAGTGGACCCCAAATTCATAGAATGTTCCAAATGCATCTTATATTGTAGTATTTAAAAAATCACATTTAAGAAGGACAAAAAAGGGAATAAAATTCAGTTAACAAATGTACATCCATCATACTAACCAAATTTACAAACATCCATGTATCATTTCAGTAGAATGCACTTGAGGTTTTCATTTTCAACTTGGTTGTCAATGTAATTAAACTAATATTAATTTGATGAGGCACTCAGAAAGCACTGTGAAAGAGACAACCAAGGGATTGTATGTAACTTGCTATTCAACTCTCGCTTTAGTTCAAAATCACACACATTTCATTCAGTTGCTTTTGAGGATTTATTCTGGTTTTTGTACGCGGAGTTGGAAAATCTGTCTCATTCAAATGTAAGTTGCATTAATTTAAACTCAACAATTTTCCCAATGTAATTGAAGAATCGAATAACAAAATTTAAATAATGTTTACATTTTACACAGTAGCAGGGTTATATCTTATACTTGGAAAACACATCATACATTGACTTTGTATTTGCTGAGATGAATCTGAGAAAATTGAATTGCCTCTTGTGGTAATACTTTGCCTCTCGTTTGTTATATTTTTAAAATGTGCACTCATCCCTATTTGAAAACATAGTGAAGGTTCATTCGTTTGCTCTCATTATTGGACCAACAGATATAGGATTTCATAGGAAGTAGGCTGGGTGTTGAAGTCCAAGATTTTCCAAAGGGGAAGTGGTTGAGGTATGAGAGTCAACACATACAGAGACCAAAGACCTTAAAATTAAACCAAATATTCAGTATTGTAGAATGTTGTTTAGGGAATGAACTTTAAAGTTCTTTGTCAGTGATAACAATGCTCGATGTCTGATGGAAGTGGTTGGTGGATACACT